GCCACCTTGCTCCAGCCACCCGCCTCCAGCCACCTTCCTCCAGCAGCCACGCGCCTTCAGCCACCCACCCGCCTCAGCCACCTTCCGCCACCACCCGCCTCCAGCCACATTCTAGCTCCGGTGTGGCGTATTCGGTATGGCGTATCGCTACCGAACCGAACCGAAACTCCGCCATGCTGGCGATACGTATACCGTATACCGCTAAACACCGCATACGTATCGGTATCGACCGAACCGCCCGATTACAGCCCTGGAAATGGTCTTTCTCCGCATGGTCGCCCACTGTTGGGAGATTGACTCATGTAGGTCCATGTGGAGCATGGGATCACCAGAGTCTTGATCTTGATCTCGCAAGTACGCGTCCGAAATAGTTCAAGGCGCTCGTGTCCCTGCTCCTCATGGAAGCATTAACCCTCCCTATAAGGCTCCACATACTTATTCTGCACTGAAGTGTGTTCAAATACCTATGTAGGAATTTCTTTCAGGTCTAAGTATCTGCCACGTATATATGTACATGGAGCCGTAGGGTCTGCCCTCATTCATTTCCAGCCTTTCCTGCCAAGGAACACAGGTGGCTTCGGGAAATCTCTTGGCAGGGTACAAAGGTCGGCCCAATGTAGGCTTTTGTAGGGAAGGAGGCCTTAATAGTATAGGAATTTTAGATTATATGGTGCCCTTAGCGGGTTTGAAGAGAACGGATGGTGGGCATCCTAGACCCGGCACACATGACTTGACTTGTAACAAGGCGCAGCTTGACGGGCGACGACGGATAAGGCGACCATGGATGGTCTCCCACCTGGGCAGGCGGCAACTTCTGAGTAAATATTGCACCTATGTGTACCTATGGAGACTTGTGCATCAACATCTGCCGGTTCATACACTGACAACTCCTGATTCAAGTCGCAATGCTAGGAGCTGATTTTCGCTGGACAGGCAGTGGCTAAGATCCAGGCTTTCAGCACATGGGACAACCCTTTCCGCAAAGCAACATGGATCCTTACTACATGGGTTCCATAAACGGGTACAAGTCCTGCTCGTCTTTCTTGAAACCTCCAGGTGGATGTGCTGTCAGTCAAGTTGGAGCCCAGAGGTACATGTCTTGTAGAAACTGGGGAGCACATGCTGGGTCGACGTCATGCTGTGCTGCCAAACAAAACCTGACAAACCTGACAGATAAATTGCAGAATAACCGAGTCCGAAGCATAGAGGGTGCGCGGAGATTTCGCACGGGAATTTCGCCTGATCGAGAATGCGGCAGTTCTGCGACATGTCCCGTGCATAGTCCGGACTTGAGACGACCCACCCCTCCTGGGACCCTCTGTGCGGAAGAGTCCATGTCGGGCGTCTCCGCAGTAGCCGGGCCTCGACTCCATGCGATGGCTCTGCCCTATGTTGCATGGAGGCACTGATACAAAGGACTCGGGGCAATGGAGCCGGCTCCATGAGAAGAGTGTCGAAAAGCAAAAAGCACACATGTGTCAAACTGATATTTCAAGGTTTGCGATGATTCGACCTTTTCACTTCGGAGCCACCGCGAATGTACCACTTTTCACTGAGCCCGAAAAAAATGTTGCGACAATGGCAGCCCTGAGCAGTCGTCGTAGTCGACGTTGACGTAGTGGTGGTAGTAGTGGTGGTAGTAGTAGTAGTAGTAGTAGTAATAGTAGTAGCAGTAGTAGTAGTAGTAGTAGTAGTAGTAGTAGTACTAGTAGTAGTAGTAGTAGAAGAAGTAGTAGTAGTAGTAGTAGTAGTAGTAGTTGTATTAGTAGTAGTAGAAGTAGTAGTAGAAGAAGTAGTAGTAGTAGTAGCAGTAGTAGTAGTAGTAGTAGTAGTAGC